TTAGAATTTCAACATAATTTCAATTACGACAGGTTTCAAAATTCGTCAGAATTTCGATGGGTTATTTACTAATAGTTTATTATAATTTCGACAGAATTTAGACAGAATTTAGATAGTCACTAAGAGATTTCGGCAAGCAACCTTACTTCAAATTCAAAGTTAAACACAAAAAAGTTTGATCTGAGTTAACTCAAAGATTAATTCAGTGAAGCTTTTTAATATTTCTAGTTTTATATTTGAATTTATAAATAAATTATTTTGTAAATGTAAAATTTATTCTTGTAAATTCAAAATTAATTACTAATTATTATAGATTTTATTTTTTTATTTTTTATATTTTGCTATAAGTTAATCTTATCAATATTTTAGTATAATTTTATAATTATGATATTTTTATAATTTTTGTTCTAATTATTAGTTTGTTTGCCTATTTAGAAGTTGTGATATAAATTATTAATGCAATAATGAATTAATATATCTATTTTTTGAGCTTTAATAAAAATAATATTTAATTTTCAAAAATTATAATATTTTTTTGTCTCTTTTAATTACCTTTAAAAACTAATATTTTGTTAATTCAATAATTCAAAATTTTACTATTGTTAGATTACCTGAGCTTGAAAAATATTTTATTTTTGAGTAAATTGATTAATATAATTTTGTTAAATTATATCAAGTTATCTATATTTATTAATATTTTATTGTAGCTAAACTATTTAATTATCTCTATTATTATATTGTACTATAATATTATTTATATATTTTGATAATTAAGATGAATAGTATTCAAAAAGTCATGGATTTTCTGGATAATATTGATTAAATTATTTAATAGCTTCTCTAAGATAATCTTTAAGTTAATTTAAATTTCAATTAACAAGTATAAAAAGATTAAGTATTATCATATTCGTATATAAAAGATCTAGAGAAAATAATTTGATTCTATATTTTAGATTTTGAATTATATTTTCAGATTTTTATAATTATTTCTCTATATTATTAATATAGAATATCTTATCTCAAAATCTCTATTTTAACTTAATATAAGTTTTTTTAAGAAATGGTATTTCTGATCTTAACTCTATTTTTTTCTAAAATATTCTTGAACTGTTTTAATTTTTTATTGAAAAATTAAATTTTATTCTCACACCAGGATACTTATGCTTCAAATTCTTTATATATTTTTTATTTAATTTATTGATTAAAACTTCATTAGATAACTTATCTATTAAAGCTTGATTTACTTGCTTCAGTTTCAATTTTTGATCAAATATTGATTTATAAGATATTATATTAGAATATGGTTAATGAAATATTATAATTATTTTTTATGATATAATATATTTAACTTATTAATTATACTTTTGCTATTTAAAATACTGTCTTTTTAATATTTAGTGAAGAGAAGTTAGTAAGAGTTGATAATAATACTTCTTTTATTTATCTTATTAAATAGAAGAAAAGTAAAAAACACAAAATGCGTATAAAAATCTCTTTCATAATAATAAATTATTCACAAATATCAATTGTATAGTATTTAAATAATATAAAGAGAAAATATTACTGATAATGTATTGTGTATTTATCCTAATTATTTATAATATTTTTCTTAGTTCATTAAGTTTAGGAATCAAATGCAAAGATAGATCAATAGCAAGACATATTTATATATTTATAATAAGTAATACTTTGAATTTGCTTAAAGTTAAGAGTAGAAGATGATGAATTTCAATATTCAGAAGCTATAAAAGCAAGAAGACTAGTAAATAATTACATTAAAAATCATTCATATATTAAATATTTAGCAAGTTATAAAAAATATCTAGCCAGCAATATCAAATATTATTAGAAATAACAGAGCAAGTGACAAAAAAATACCAAAAGTTACGAACTGAAAATATATTTAAAAAAGATAATAATAATAAGAAAGATGATGACTATGATAATTTTATAAATTTTTTTAATACTTTTTGTAATTTGTTTCTTTAAAATCTAATAAAAAAATCAATTTATTTAAAAGATTACTGACTTGAATTGCAAATATATAATATAGTTTTTTTAAATTTATATTTTATTATATATATATTTTACAATAAAATAAATATTTTTTATTATTGTTTAATTTATAAATTCTATTATTACTTGAAATTGCTATTATTATTACTGCTTGAAATTGTTATTATTACTTGAAACTGATATTGTGAAGTTTTGTGCAAATTTTAATAAAAAAATCAAAAAATCTGTACAGATTTACATTTTGTTATAGATCTGTGCAGATTTTTTAAAAAATTTTCTTTATTAATCATCACCAGGTTCAAAGTTTTGTATAAATTTTTGAATTTAAAGATCTGTACAAATTTGCATTCTTAAAAATTTTCTGATGATACAAAAATTTATTTAAATAATTAAAATATTATCAATATTAAATTTAACTTTCTAAAGAATATACAAGCCATTTAGAATTATTACTCAGATATTTAATAGTTGACATATAGTTTAATAATATGAATACAAATTTATAATCGTATTTTTTATAAATCTTAAGTATTCAAGTCTGATAATGTGAATACAAATTCATCATTATATTTTTTATAAATTATGCATATTATTCTAAAAATTTCTGAAAACAAAGAATAATATAAATACTAATTATTTATTTCTTTTAAAGTTAGTAGAACTTTTATATTGAATATTTTATATTCATTAAAATTTTATATTATAAATTCCAAAATACATATCTTAATTTAATTATTGAATTCAGTGATTGGATTCAAATAAAAATAATGTCATTTAATTTATTTAGTCAAGACAAATAAAATGGTAGTATTTTGTTTGAAATTGATCACTAAACATTGAGATAATATGTCAAATTCATTTTTTTGATATTAACAAAAATAAAAGTCACTTTAAAATATAAGATCTTAATATCTAGTGATCAGATTTGAGTGAAAATACTATCATTTGACTTATTTAGTCAAGATGAATCGAATAGTAGTATTTGTTTTTAAATTTGATCACTAGATATTGATCACTAGATGTTGAGATATTACATTTTAAAGAGACCATTTCATTTTTTATGTTGATCACTAGATGTTGAGATATTACATTTTAAAGAGACCATTTCATTTTTTGATAATTATTTTTCATTCAAAATTGATTGTTAAAAAATGAAATGGTTCCTTTAAAATATAATATCTCGACACCCAGTAATCAAATTCGAACACAAATACTACTATTCGATTCATCTTGACTAAATGAGTCAAATAATAGTATTTTTACTCAAATTCAATCACTAGACATCAAGATCTTACATCCTAAAGTGACTGTTTTATTATATTTAGAGCATGAAAGTTTATGAACATAAAATATCCCTGATGTAGAAATTATACCAACTTTAAAAGATGTAAATGAACAGCATTTGTGTTATTTTTTGTTTTCAAAAATTTTTAGGATAATACACATGATCTATAAAATGTTAGGGACGTTCAAATACTTATGAACATTATTGTAAGTGTTAAAAACTGTAAATATATTAAATTTATATTATTATAGAATTTTTGCAATTAATGGTTAATATATTATATATTTAATAGAAGCAAAAACTCAATTGGAAATTCTAGATAGTATTTTCAATTCTGATCTTAGGCATCCAATTAATGAAATTTGCCAATGCTTTGAAACTGGTCTTAATTTTCTGATGTTAAAGTAGATGAAAAAAACGTGAATTTAATATAATTCAGATTCCGTGGTGAAGTAATCATGTATAATATTTGTTTTATTTATTAATTTTTAATAATAGCTAATTAACTTTGTTTTATACAGCTTATAAGAATTCGGGATCACATTGATGAGCAATTAGAGATACAGGCAACAGATTATCAAAATTCAGCAAATCACATCTCTCGTAATGAAATGATATTCATTTCAATGAATATCATCACCATTTATCTCTGATGGGCTTTAATAATATTGATCCCTCGCTTTGAATTATCAAAAGAGTGATAATGATAACAGACAGCAATAAAATGATAGCAAAAAAAAAAGGTTTCACATAATATAATCTATTATTTATTTTATTAATACATGTAAATAAAAAACGCGTAAAATATTATGTGTAACATTCTGATATGAATCACTGAAAGCTCGCTTAAAGCCTGCTAAAAACCCACTAATAAACTTTCTTAAAACTTGCTGAAAACTTGGTGAAAACACTATCTTACATGACTATCGAAAAACGATATGAGAGTGTGGAGGTTTTTCTGTTGTAAAACTTTGCAAAAACTTTTGAATTATTATCAGTAAACATTCAGAAAATTTGACTTCCTACGGAAAGTTTCCTGTTGGTTTTTAATAGAGAACCAACCCATTTCTACCTGTTGGTACATTCACTACAATCATGAGTTTTAGATGCTATCTTCGAGTTTATTAGTGTTTTATTTAAAAAACGATGATTTATATGTCATCGTTCACTTGTGTTTGTAAAATGATTTATTCATGAAAAATAATACGGGAACACGACATACTCCCACATTATGAATTAAATGAAGAAGGGTAAAAACGTGATTCATCATGAATTTACAGATGTACAGTCGCCATCAATTAATACACATTACGTATATATGGAATGAACTACAAGAAATGTTATGCTCGTTTCTTTGCTCCTGAAAAATTCCGCTGAGATACTGTTGTGTCGACCTCTAAATTATTTGAATTATGGATGTTTTTCACAACACAATTATAAACGAGACTGAATGATTTACGGAAAAGGGGTTCTTTAGGCGTTATAAAGGTCTCCCGTGGCAATTTGTATGCAAATTGACCTTTAATGGTAGGGATATTTAAAAATAAATAGAATATTTTAAGAAAACTAATAAAATAATAGAATCCTATTTATTCAGCAAAATCAAAGTAATCTTTCAAACACAACAGGACGACCGCCGCTTCTTACTGTTTCCGATCGTTTTGTCCTCAAGACCCTTGTTACTAGTGAAAATCGCCATCTAAACCTTGCCCAAATCACGTCCCAAGCCACTCATTTCCGCTGTTAATGCTGAGAGGCGACTTGCCTGGTGTCTCGTACATAAAGACTGGACAGCTCGACATTTTCGTCGTGTTTTGTGGTCAGATGAATCAACATTTTGCCTCTTTCAACAAT